AGGAAGCCTGCTTGCCTGCAACACGCATTAGAATTGTTGAGAAGTGAAGTATCACGTACTGCAGTAAACACTGCTTAGTTGGCCTCCAGTGATCAGATCTGATCTTTGTTAGAAGGCTATGCTGAATGTTTCTACCTGTGCGGTAGGAAAATACACCTGCGTCATAGTGAAAATAATGTCACTCCCCTCACGGGTTCCGTGGAGTCCCAAGCAGAGGAGAACGAGGGGCAGTGTCGGGGGGCGGGGGGTACTGGCAGTGAGCCCCAGAACTCCTGCTCAGGCCATTGTGCTGGGCAGGAACGCCAAAGGGTGATGTCACCGAGGCCGCGAGCGAGAGGAGGAGCAGCGAGAGCAGTTAGCTTCGTATTGACCACCTGTCTTCACGGGGGGGAAAAAATAGATTGCAGTGAATAAGTGAGAGTCTAGTTTTCCAAGAAGCTCAATGATTTTCCCAAATCAATACAGTTCATCAGGCCTCAGAACAAAGGCTGTGAGGAAGGTGACAGTGATGGAAGTGGCTGGGTGTTCTTTTGTGTATTAAACCCTAAGGCCCACAGGGAGCTAGGTTTCTTTGGCAGAGTCCGGGTTTTGTTTTCTGGTGTTTTTTTTTTTTTTCTTTAAAAAATTTTTAAGGGTTCATTCAGAGTATCTAGGGGGAGGAAATGCCTTCACATTGCTCAGAGATCTCTGTAAGATTGTGTACTAGTGATCAATTAAACTCTTGAAACAGGTAGACAGTGATCAAGTCAGCAAGTGTGCCATCTTTCTGAGTGCAGAATAGGTTGACCATTGTTCTTCCGGCTTGGTTCAAGGTTCCTGGTTGCTGCTGATGGATAAGACCGCGATGAAACAGAAAGAACGACCTGGTGTTACTGGCAAATTCAGAATCCGCTCTCGTCCCGTAAATGATGGGACCGTTCCCGGCGTTCTGAAAATGAGAGCAACGCTGAAGAGCATGGCTGCCCACGGGCTGGGAGGTGTAATGAATGCAGGCAGAGTGATGCCACATACACATCCCAGCCGCCGGCAGAGATCTGTCCCAGTGGGCCGCTTTGAGCCCCTCTCTCCTTTCATCTTGAAACTCGCTGTGCTCTGATAAAAATAAAGCCACATGTTAGCACCCGCACCCTGTGTCTCTGGTGTGCGACTCGGGCGGCTGCACACTGGGGCACTGAAGTGAATGGCACCCTGCATTGCTGGTTCAGATGGCCGCCCTGGGTCCTAGATGACCCCATTACAGGATGTGGCTAAAGCAGCTCTTGAAACTTTCACCCTTTCAGTGGCCCAGTTCTTCCAAAAAAAAAAAAAAAAGTCCTGCCTTTTTGTTTCATGTGACAGCACTTTTCTTGTCGTGTGTTCCTGTATACTTGGTACTGGTCATACTGGAAAGTCCCTCTGCCTTTAGGCTGGCTAGTATTTTGTGAACCTTAGTTGTAAAGTTGAAAAATTCCCCCAGAGACTTGCAGACTCATCTCTGTCCTTTGAAGAAGGACCTGTCTGGGGTGCAAGGCTCTGAAGCTAGAACAACAGTCTGCAAGTCAGCAGGGTGCTGTGCAAGATGCAGTGGGGAAAAATGTGGCATCCCCATGCCTGCTCCAGACCTAGAAGCCAGGCCCCCCCAGGCTGTAGGGACAGGATGGGCCCACTGGCATGGCGTGGCCACCTCCTTCGTGCATGTCTGTAGTGGCTCCTCTGGAAACAGCATGGGCGGAGCTGCAACCCGAATGTGGCTGCTACCTGGCGTGTCCCCACAGACACTAGGAAGTGCTTGGCCAGTTACTCAGAAGCCAGTTCTGTGTGTGGGATCCTTGTAAGACCAAGGGGTTAGGTGCTAAGGACCCATGCTTGTTGAAATGCCATGTAGGTCACATGCCTTTGGTGGCCTCTTGGGTTCTCTGCCAGTGTGAGACAAAGCAGGGAAGAAAACGAGGTGCATTCATGAACGATATTTTTCTTTGAATGTTTGCTTATTTTGATCTACTTAAAGGCAGAAAGAGAAAGAGCTGTACCTGCTGATTCACTCACTGAATGGCCACTATCTTCCAGGCCAAGCCACAGGCAGCAGCCCAGAACTCCTTCCTGCCCTGCCTTGTGGATGTCAGAGGTCCAGCCATTTACCGTCCTAGTGACCAGCCTCGTTTTTCAAATATACATGACACAGGGTATGTGTTAGCTGCTTGAGGAATCCCGCCAACCCTCAACCCCCAGACCCCGTGAAATCCCAGAACAAAAAGATGAAGGGGACTTGGGTAAGGGGCATCTCCAGCACCTAGTTTGTGGGTGAGACCAATCAGGAGATGACTTTGGGGCAGAAAAGTTCTATTAACTTCCAGTTTTAAGATAAATGAAAAATAGCATCATAATGTCTGGTTCAGGCTCTCACTTGAATTTGAATCATTTTCATCACAGGCATTTAAGGACTGTCTGCTTGACAGGACCATGGGTTAGAGGTGTTCAAGATTTTGAGATTTCAGGGAAAACAACAACCACCACGCTAACCTGTGTGGGTGCTTTCTCGTTAACAGAACACCTTTTTGGGACTTGGCCCTTTAATAGCCTTTCTTTCCCAGGGCAGCACTCCAGCAGACAGCACAGCTCTAGCAAACATTTGTGCCCATGTGTGTTTGCACATGAATTCTGGGTCGATTCAAAGGCTCTGGCCTCCTTTGCAGCACTTTCTGCAAGGAAACAAAGATGGGAGCACAGCATTTACTCAGTGCTGCTTGGTGGTGGAGCACAGGCCATAAGCATTCTGAGCAGAAAGCACGGAGAAAAAGCCAGGTGACAGCGACAGGCCCTTTCCGGCCAGCCGAGAATGGGCTGTTCTGTACCATGCGTTGTCTACCCACAGTGCACCCGGCTCCTGGAGGCGTGACACGCCGCGATGAACTGCTCTACCCGGCCCCGCAGGTGCAGGGCCAGCACTGCATCCTTCCCACCCTTGGACCTGGCTCCCCGCTCCCTGGCCAGCTGCCGCCGCCTCCGAGCCCAGCCAATCCAACGCGAGCGTTGGCAGTGGGCACTGACCAATGAGCGGCCGGCATTTGCTTGGAGGAAAAAAAAGAAGAAAAAAAAAAAAGCGAAACCCTAGGGGGAAAAGCAGTAACAAAAGGCTTTCACTGCCGACAAATGTTAAGTGTCTGTGCAGACTTTTCCTGTTTTTAATTTTACGACTGCGAGAATGGAGGGTCTGTTGTTTCTTTCATGTTTCCTTTCAAGCCGTTTTAATTATACATTTGTGCTACATCAGGGACCCCGCAACGCCGCGATCCACCTATGGCATGCAAGGCCGGCGTGCAGCATGGCGCTGCAACTAGAGCTGACAGACACAAGAATTTTAAGGGGCTGCAGAGGTCTCTGACACCACACATGGTGCCTCCCCGCCCCCTTCCTGCAGGGACGGGCGCCTGGAAGAGCCTTTTCCTCTGATTGTTCTGTCTTCTGCACCTTTTGAGCAAATGCCTAATGACCTCCTGATCCTCATCGCTAAAGGAATTCTTCTACTCAGCGGTTTTATAGGGAAAAAAAAAGTCCCCTCCAGAGGGAATGATGATGGAATCAACGGTGATTTCAGGAAATGCCTGCCTTGCTTCACCCTAGCAGCTCTCCTCTCTTACAATAGGCGGCGGGTCCATTCAGCGGTCACTTGGTAGTGACACAGGGCGGCTGGGAAACGGTTTTGGGGAGGGGGGAGGGTCTTCTCCTGAGACTTTGGAAAGAAAACTCCCCCTCCCCGCTCCTGGAACCCCAACCACTCTGGGAGTTTTGTTTGTTTGTTTGTTTATTTGTTTTTTTGCCGGCTGTTTGAAGGCTCCCAAGGAAATCAGTTTTACCTGGAGAGGCAGCTCAGGTCCTGTAAAATTCAAAATGGCAGTGGCTTTGAGTGAGGGCTGCTGATGCTTGGTGGGAGCAGCCCAGGAAACAAAGGCTCAATGACCGGGCTGTTTTCTGCCCTATTTAGGTCTCCCCTCCCCAAAATCTACACCCTTTTAAAATCGGTCGTAAGAGAGTGATTGGGGGAGGGGGGGCAGGTGACAACAACCGGAAAAAAAAAGGCGAAGTTGCCCTCTGGAGAAATGAAAAGGATGTTGTATTTTGTTTCTTGGTGACATTTGTTGTACTAAGTGCTCCTAAGTTTGGTAATTCACAGATGCAGAGCTAAATTAAATTGTCTGCCTGCAGAGCAGTGTGGGGAAGCCGAACTGCTTGCAGGAAACAGGGCTGTTGGTTTTGAGATTTCTTTTGTAATCCTCTGTGGCGAATACTTAGCCAAGTCGATTCTAAAGATAACCCCGAGAGCACGTCTCATTGTGCACATTTATTTTCTTAAGAGGGCTATTTTGGGAGTCCTTCCTACGAAACAAGACCCAGCAGTGAAACGGATACCCCAACAAAGCTGAGGACTTGCCCGCCTCAGTCAGGGAGAAGGGAGGATTCAGAGAGACATCGGAGCTCACTGTCCACTGCCTGGCATCCGATGTGCTCCCCCCAACCCCTTGGCGTCCCTATTTTTATGCACCTGCACCATTTTTTTTTTCTTAATAAAAATCACCGTTCTTTTCCAGCTGATTTGGAATCGGAGCCAGTGGCTCTGGGTCACCTTCTGGTTAAGCATTGGTAACTGGCGTTTAGTTTATGTTGGCTGCTTGCCAAGCGAAAGCAATTATGTGCAATAATAGAAAAATTAAGAGGTGAGTGTTGCTGTTTTACAGCAAGACATGGCAAAAACCATTTCCTTCTGTCAGCGGTATCCTGACTGCACTCTCGCACACTCTGACCCCTGTAGACCCACACCCATGCTCCTGAACACACACACACACACACACACAATTTCCTGTGGGTTTTAACTTGAGGTCACTGAAACCAGAAAGAGGAAGAATGCAAACCACAGCTTTTGTAAGCAAGTGAGAATAGAACTCTGCTGGTAAAGTCATCACCATTGGGCGCACTCAGCACGGTCCTTTCTTTTGTCTCTGCGCCCCCTCCCCCGCCCCCTACAGGTGTCCTAGTGGTCAATGTCACGTGGAGGAACAAGACTTACGTAGGGACCCTTCTGGACTGCACCAAGCACGACTGGGCTCCCCCCAGGTATGCGCTAGGGCTTTTGGGTTTTTCTTCTTTGTCTGCAAGGAAATGCTAGTGGCTCGTGCTGGCTAGAGAGAGGCTAGTGTTGTGTCCAGGTCAGCAGTGAGCAGTGTAGGGGAGCCTGCTGGGTTGCCAGGGCTGGTCCCTTCTCTCTGCGCATCCCTGCCTTCTGGCCCTTCTGTCTGTTTCTCCTCTGTTTTCTGCATTGGGACAGCCCGAGAAGCAAGCTCCCAGCACCAACAGAAGACTGCTGGTGGCACTGGTGGGAGGGTGAGGAGGGGGAGATGTGGTCCTGGGCTAGGTCCAGTGCCAGCGTGCCCCTTTGTGTCCCTGCGGATTTCACCCGCTCTTGCTGTTGTTAACATCTGTCCCTTGCTTCCCTAGGTTCTGTGAGTCACCGACCAGTGACCTGGAGATGAGAGGGGGCCGGGGCCGAGGGAAGAGAGCGAGGTCCGCAGCAGCGGCACCCGGCTCCGAGGCCGGCTTCACTGAGTCCCGGGGGCTGCCGAGCAAGAACCGAGGGGGTGCCAATGGCAAAGGGAGGCGGGGTAGCCTCAACGCAAGCGGCCGAAGGACGCCCCCAAACTGTGCCGCCGAGGACATCAAGGCCAGCCCTTCGGCTACCGCCAAGAGGAAGAACAAGCCCCCCATGGAGCTGGACCTCAACTCGAGCTCGGAGGACAGCAAGCCCGGGAAGCGCGTGCGCACCAACTCCAGAAGCACGCCCACCACACCCCAGGGGAAGCCCGAGGCCACCTTCCTGGACCAAGGCTGCTCCTCTCCAGTGCTCATCGACTGTCCCCACCCCAACTGCAACAAGAAGTACAAGCACATCAATGGCCTGCGCTACCACCAGGCCCACGCACACCTGGACCCGGAGAACAAGCTGGAGTTTGAGCCCGACAGTGAGGACAAGATCTCGGACTGCGAGGAGGCCCTGGGCAACGTGGCCCTGGAGTGCAGCGAGCCCAGCGGCAGCATGGCCACCTACGACCAGGCCAAGGCTCCCGCATCCCCTGGGGCCAGCAACCCCCCTGGCACCCCCAAGGGGAAGAGAGAGCTCCTGAGCAACGGCCCGGCTGCAGCGATGGGTTCCAAGACCGGGAAGAATTCAGGCAAAAAGAAGGGCCTTAACACCGACCTCAGCAACCTGCCAGTGATCTCCAACATGACCGCCACGCTGGACGCGTGCTCGGCCGCGGCAGCCGATGGCAGCTCGGCTGCAGAGATGCCCAAACTGGAAGCAGAGGGATTGATTGACAAGAAGACTCTGGGGGAGAAAGAAAAGGGCAGGAAAGGCACCAACTGCAAAATGGACAAGAACCTGTCCAAACTCAAGGGTGCCCGGCCCATCGCCCCGGCACCTGCTCCCACCCCGCCACAACTCATTGCCATCCCCACCGCGGCCTTCACTGCCACCACCACAGGAACGATGCCTGGCCTGCCCTCCCTCACCACCACCGTGGTCCAGGCCACACCAAAGAGCCCCCCGTTGAAACCCATCCAGCCAAAGCCCACCATCATGGGGGAGCCGCTCACAGTGAACCCCGCCCTGGTGTCCCTGAAAGACAAGAAGAAGAAGGAAAAGCGGAAGCTCAAGGACAAAGACGGCAAGGAGACGGGGAGCCCGAAAACGGACGCCAAGCTGGGCAAGCTGGACGACCCCAAGGGCGCAGCGGGCAAGGATGTGGCTGGGCACTTCCTGAAGGACCACCTCACCAAGGGGGAGGGCCTGGCCAACGGCCTGGCCGAGTCCCAGGAGAGCCGCATGGCCAGCATCAAGGCCGAGGCCGACAAGGTGTACACATTCACCGACAATGCCCCGAGCCCCTCCATCGGCAGCGCCTCCAGGATAGAGTGCAGCGCCCTGGTGAACGGCCAGGCACCCCTGCCCACCCTGCACGTGCTGGCCCAGAACGGGGCCGAGAGCTCCGTGGGGGCAGCCGCGGCCAAGACCAGCAGCCCCGCCTACTCGGATATCTCCGACGCCGCGGACGATGGCGGCTCCGATAGCCGGTCGGAGGGCGTGAGGTCCAAGGCCAGCTCCCCGTCCGAGATCCTCTCGGGCAAGGACAGCGTGGTCAGAGCGCATCCTGCCGCCGCCGCCCAGGCGTCGTCGCAGCTGAAGGAATCGCACTCGCCCTATTACCATGGCTATGACTCCTACTATTCTCCCAGCTACATGCACCCTGCTCAGGTGGGCACCCCCGCAGCCGGGAACGGTGCCGGCCCACAGGGGCTGAAGGTGAAAAAGGAGTGTGAGGATGAGGCCGAGAAGAAGGACAAAGCGGAGCAGCTGGAGCATAAAAAGGGGGAGCACAGCAGCACCCCCCTGCAGCCCCAGCACCAGTCCGTCATCACACAGAGACACCCGGCGCTGGCCCAGTCCCTCTACTACGGCCAGTACGCCTACGGGCTCTACATGGACCAGAAATCTCTGATGGCCAGCAGCCCTGCCTACAGACAGCAGTACGAGAAGTACTACGAGGACCAGAGGCTGGCCGAGCAGAAAATGGCCCAGCCCGGGCGAGGAGACTGTGAAAGGAAACATGAGCTCCCCTTGAAGGAGCTGGGCAAGGAGGACGGTAAACAGAAAAACGTGCCGTCGGCCACGGTCTCAAAAGCTCCCTCTACCCCAGAGCCTAACAAAAGCCATTCTAAACTAGGGCCGTCAGTGGCTAATAAAACTGAGGAGACAGGTAAATCGCAGCTTCTCTCCAAAAACCAGCAGCAGCTTCAGGCCGACAGCTTCAAAGCTAAGCAGATGGAAAACCACCAGCTTATTAAGGAGGCTGTAGAAATGAAATCTGTCATGGACTCTATGAAGCAGACAGGTGTAGACCCAACCTCGAGATTTAAACAAGTAAGAGTGTGGAGCGTGGCCCCCATAGAGAGAGCAGTCTGTCTGGGCTTTGATCTGGTGTAGACCGTGCGCAGCCGAGCCGAGGAGGCCCCCGCGAGGGTCTCCTCCCACTTCTGTCTTGAGAACTCTGCCAACTGGCTCTCGGGAGCTGCCGTAGTAAAACGCACAGTGCCCGCCGTCGTTTCCTTGCCGTGTGTAGCAAGAGGAACTGTGGACGTGCGCTTGGCATGCGTGTGCTCTCCGTGCGACTCTGGCGAGACCCCTTAATTTCTTTCTCAGTCCCAGGTGAGGGACAGGAGTTGCACCCCAGGGCAGCTGAGTTCCCATCAACCTCTAAGGCTGAGGCCATCTGTCCTCCCCCCAGAGACCTGTCCTACATCTGGTAGCATCTTCCAGGAGTAGTGGAACCAGCTTTTAAGTCCACACTTGCCATTTGCACCTTTTATTATTATTATTTTTAAGTCTCTGGGGCCCAGGCATGTCTCATTTAGGGTCTGTCTTATCCTCTGTATGGCCTGTCCCAGAGCGGGGTTCAGTGCTAAGCGCTTGAGAGCAGAATGAGGGGGTTTAGGAGCGGGCCCCAAGGTCAGCCAGCCCGAGAACACCTGGGAACAGGCTCAGTGCAAGCCTGCACCTGTGCAGCTGGTGCTCCCTGTGGCGCTTGTTGCACTTCGGCCCCTCCAGCTCTGCTGGGCACTGTTTCTCGTATCTCCCAGCCCTCCTGTCCTCCCCACCCCCGCCCCCAGTGCTGAGTTAGGCCCCGGTGAAATGAATACGAGAATCCTCCCCCACGCGTGTTCCTGCCACAAGCTGGGATTTTGGCCCAATCTTGTGATGCCCCCTCCATGGCTGAGATGTGGGGTCCTCAAGACCTGGAGGGCACTAAGCACCCCGTCTCTTTTTGCCGAGGCCGCACCCGGCTGCTGCTGTGTCACAGGGCTGCGTCAGAACCTTCTGGTGGATGGCTGTCTTCTTTTGAGAAACTGTCCCATGTGCTCTTCATTTGAAATTGTGTTTTGGTTAAGATGGCAGCATGTAATGAGAAGTGAGCCAGTGTGTATGAGCCTCAGTTGTGCTAGACCAAGCCAGTGTAATCAGAATCCCCATTCAGTTTTTCCTCAGTGATGGCAAAAGCTATTGTAATTACTTTAAATGTACTCTTTCAGCTTCAGATGTTTTTTGGTTTTGGTTTTTTAAAAGTTCTCCCTTTTTGAAACCTAGGTGAGTTAGTGAAAGGAGATTGAGGGTTGGAATAAATGTATCTGACGATGTTATTTGTTGTTGAGGAATGACCTTAACTCCAGCAGGGTTGGGTTTGTAGCCCAGCTTCACAGTTGGGCTCCTGTGTGACTTTGACCTTGGTGTTGCTTGCCCTGGAAAAACTTCAGTCTTGTCTTCTGTATGAGGGATCCATAGCAACGCCTACCCCAGACGCGAATGCTCTGTGAGGGAAGGAGGTAAAGCTATGGGCTCGGTGCCTCACACGAATAAATGCGAAGCTAGTCTGAGAAGTCAGCGGAATAGCGCTAACGGTACGATTAATGGCTTTTCTTAGAATCTGAAATTTTAACACTAAGTTGTATTTTCTTTTTCCCCCCTGAACAGGACCCAGATTCAAGGACATGGCACCATTACGTATACCAGCCCAAGTACCTGGACCAGCAGAAGCCCGAAGAACTTGATAGAGAGAAGCGACTGAAAGAGGACAGTCCAAGGAAGACGCCCAACAAGGAGGGCGCGGCACCCGGCCTCCCCGTGTCCTTGAGCAGCATTAAGGAGGAGCCCAAGGAGGCCAGACGCCCCGATTCCCAGCCGATGGAGGACGGCAAGCTCAAGAATGACGACCGGAAGACTCCTGTGAACTGGAAGGACTCCCGGGGCACCCGGGTGGCCGTGTCCTCCCCCATGAGTCAGCATCAGTCCTACATCCAGTACCTGCACGCCTATCCTTACCCGCAGATGTACGACCCCAGCCACCCCGCCTACCGGGCCGTCTCTCCTGTCCTCATGCATAGTTACCCCGGTACGTGCCATGCGTGCTGACTGCTGGCTCCCCCACTCGGGCTTAGAACCTCCGGACACGTTACCAACTTCAAAACAACTAACATCAGTTGTTTGTATGCTGCTTCAAATTAACTCTAAAATGAAACCGATTGAATATAAGATTTTTCTGTTTTGGTGAAATGTCCTCAGCTAGATTTCCCATAGTCTCTGATGGGTTGGTGTGGCTGTTTGGCTGACAGCTCCTCTGTTGCTTATGAAAATATCCTAAGCGCTTAGTGTCTTCGTTACGCGCACCATTCTTTTCACTTCAGTGGACACAATTAAGTGAACAAAATGGTGGTAAGCTGCTTTTAGCAGGTGGCCTCTCCCTTCAGCAGGATGAATTAGCTGGAAGATGTGGTGGATAGAGTTGAAGGACGAAGTACCCTGTTCTTAACGAGGCCCCCGCCCCAAATCCCTACTCTTAGCGCACATCCATGTAACCCTGAGGGATTCGAGGGTTTGCTAGTCTGCAGGTGTAGCCCCTGACATGCTGTGGTGTTTGTTGTTTATCTTCAGGAGCCTATCTGTCACCAGGATTTCATTATCCTGTTTACGGGAAGATGTCGGGGAGGGACGAGGCAGAGAAAGTCAATACCAGTCCCAGCCTCACCACGAAAACACCCACCGAATCGAAAGCTCTGGATTTGCTGCAGCAGCACGCCAGCCAGTACCGTAGCAACTCGCCAGCGGTAAGCCTCCTGCCACCGTTGCTGTGTTTGGGGGTGGAGGTGGAGATGGAGAACCAGCTAGGGAACACTTGAGAGCCTTGTGTGGTTTGGGAACCCAGCTGTGATTTCAGGGGTACCATTTTATCCTAGGATTTAAGGAACAGATGTTCAAGGGTGAGCATCTCATGTGAGTGGAAAAGAGGGTGTTGAGCCTGTGGGCCAGGAACAAGCTTTGTGGCATAACCTCGTGGGGGCCCTCCCTCATCCAAAGATGAGATTTTAGATGCACAGGAGCCAACCTCTGACACAAAAGAACATTCTTGACAAAATGCGGAGAACTGATGGAGGGTTTTATTGTACGGCATCCTTGTAAGCTAAGCAGGTCAGAACCCACAGACCCTCGCCCTTATTGGGTGAGTTGTGCTTTGAAACTACTTTCCTTTGGGGGACAGCTTTTAAAAAAAAATCCAAGAGTTCCCTTTAATTCTGATGCACCCTTCCCCCAAGTCGTTGGAGAATGCTGTGTGGAATGACAGGGCGAACATCTGGCCTTGCCACGCCAGCCCAGATAGTGAGGCTCCTGTGTGAGAACAAACCTTCTGGCAAAGGAATGAAGGTTGTGGCCACCAGCTTTTGACCTTGGCTCATTGTCCAGAATTACGACTCTGCCCAAATGATGTAGAAAAGTGTCTCTCAGTGAGAGAGAACTCTTTAGAACTCTTTAGAACTCTTGAGACACAGAGTGAAGAGATACTCAGCAGGGAGTAAGGTTGTTCTGGACCAGAAGATGGACATTTAAATTAAGTCAGGACATAGAGTCGGGTGAACAGGTGCATCGGACAAAGCCCAGAGAAACTGGAAGAAGGTGACTGTTGCAAGTTCACCTTCAAGTAAGAAGGAGGGCTCTGGTGAATGGGTGGTAAGCTTCTAAAAGGCAGAAATACATAGGAAATGCTCAGACCTTCACCAAACCATGCCTGGGGAGCAGGCGACTCAGCCCGCTGTTGGGAGGCCCTGGAATGAGCCACGGATGATCATTTGCTGGGCTGCTGAATGGCATGCTGGTGGGGATGTGTCTGATCAGTGGACGGCACTGGTTCCAGATACCTTGAAGGTCACAAAATGGGCTCTCTCCACAAGATATAAATAAGAAAGTATAATTGGAAAACTTGGCGCTGAGGAAGCCTCTCCAATGGCTTCTTTCCTTGATGCTTCTGGCAAAATTATTCCTGAGATGTGATCCAGTCTGCATCCGTGAGTGGGTCCAGACATGCCTGCAGGAAACTCCTGATGCCAAATTCCAGGAGCAGGCAATGCCTGAAGCCATCTTCAGTTACCAAAGGCTTGGCAGTGTCTGTGTGGTCAGCAGGATGTAGCAGGGGCACAGGGGTGGTGCGTTACCCTTGCTGGTTATTTTGGGGGGCGGCACTAACTGGGCAATGGCGTTCCTGTTTGTTCTTGCAGCCAGTGGAGAAGGCAGCAGCCGAGCGAGAGCGAGAGGCCGAGAGAGAACGAGAGCGCCACTCGCCCTTCAGCCAGCGCCACCTGCACACGCATCACCACACCCACGTTGGCATGGGGTACCCGCTAATCCCTGGGCAGTACGACCCCTTTCAAGGTCAGCCACGCAGCCCTTACAGTGTCTTTGTTTGTCCTGCCTTGGAGAACAGTTGCTGAAACTGCCTTTCCCACCTCACAATAAAGACGTTGAGCTTGGAGTTGCCGTCGGCTCTGGGGAAGGGTCTTGGCCGCTTGTATGCTGCGTCCTCTCTCTCCCCACCGCTGCTCCTGGTACAGCTGATGCTCTTCCCGCTCCCGAATGTGCTGTTGAGACGCAGAGTGGCTCCCGCGTGGCAGTTGTCGCTGGGCGATGTTATCGGCACTCACGTTTACCTGTCAGGCTGGGGGGTGGCTGGCAGCGTCTGGGGCACTGGCTGTGAGGATCACAAGATGAGATGAGCCGTGGGGACACTGCGGAGAGGAGTGAGGGGATGGGAGAGGTCATGATGAGATTGTCGGGTTTCTGCAGGAGCTTTTCCTTTGCAGGTCATGGGGGTGGCTTGCTCAGAGTTAATACTTGTCTAACCTAGTTCCCAGGCCCTTCCTTCACTGAAGGGTGCAAGGTTGGGGGGGAGGGCGGTGAAAAAGGGAAACCTTCTTGAAAATCCGGAGTGGAAAACGGGAAGCCTTGGTTGCGTGGCATTTGAGGGAGTGGGTGTTGCCAGGCCTGCCTGCCGCCTCAGCATCTCCATCCACTCCAGGAGAGCAGTGTGTTAGAGTCTGGCTGCCTTGCCAGCTGAGCTGCCACAGCAAATTAGGACCAGTCCCTCCCTGGCTTGCAGCAGCCCTGTCTATTTTCTCACTGGTCCAAGGGCTGAGAGCTGGAGATGGCGGTGCCAGCCGCCAGGGTGATTTCTGCTGAGGCCTGTCCTGTGTGTGTGTGTGTGTGTGTGCTCGCATGCGTGCCCACCTGTGTTTGTAGGTGCGGTTGGAATGCGGTGGGTACCGGGAGTAAGCTCTAAGGGTCTGTCACAGGAGACTGGTTGTATCATGGTTCCACCTCCAGGTCCTCATTTAGCTTCACCCCCTTGTAGAGACTGTTTCCAAATATCATCCCGGTGGTGGTTCAGAACATCTCCATGTGGGTTCAGTCCCCAACACTTACCCACTGGCCTCTTGCCAGTCTGCTGTGTGTGCGCGCACCAGTCCAGGGAGCCGGCAGCATCAGCAGGTGCTTCCGAGTGCGGGAAAGCTAGCCCAATGCGAAGCCCCCATGGCCTCCAGTGATCCAGTGGTACAAAGAGAGGACCTTTAGTTCCTGATCAAGTTGTGTTGAGAATAAGGCTAAACTTGGAAGAGAAAGGGCTTTTGCTTCTAGCATAGTGCATCTGAATAAAGGTATAGAGGTTCAGAAAATCCTGTCCCTTTTTCCCAAGGTGTTGATACTATTACAGCAATGTTTTGAGGTACCCCTAGCGAAAGAAAGCAAGGTCATGGGTGGAGAGGTCAAGGTCATGGGTGGAGAGGGCAGTCAGTTGGCCTTTGATTACGTTTTTTTTCCCCTTTAGAAAATAAAAGAATGCTCCATTTACAGTGATTGCATTGTGTTAAGAGCCACCTTTCTCCTATGTGTCACCTGAGTTTGATTTAGATTCACTTAAAAGAAAGAGAGAGAGGCAGATTCGGGGTAGGGAGAGAACTTGCAGCTACTGGTTCCCTCCCCAGATGGCCTCAATGACTGGGTCTGCTCCAGGCCAGAGCCAGGACCCTTGAACTCCATCAGGTTCTCCCACATACTTGAGCCATCTTCTGCTGTATCCACAGGCACAGTAGCAGGGAGCTGGATTGGAAGTAGAGTAACCCATGCTCATATGGAATGCTCAATTCATTTGTATCACAGGGCTGGTCCCTGGTTCTGTGCACCTTATGGGGTATATGCTGTGCAGTAACCACAGCACTGGGGCTGTGAAATGTGGCATTCTAAATGCGTGGCATGTCCTTTGTTCCATAATTCATCATGATCCGAGTACTGTGATTTCTCCTGAGCTTTCTGTTAAGGAAAGTATACAAAGCATGGGTGTCATGTAGAGCCAGGAGGTGGCAGGTGCGGCCTCTGAGAGCAGCCCCTGGGAGCGCTGCAGAGGGTTCGGTGGGAGGGGTGGAGACTGGTGAGGCCGACTGGCCAGCACACCAAACTTGCGATGTGAAGCTTTGTGGCTTTGGTTGTCTGTGGCCCTCTGCTGCAAAGCTTCTATGTACTTTCACCCTTATTATCGTGGGAAATGTCACCAAACCCTACATTTTTCCCCCTCAATAGGCTTGACCTCTGCTGCCCTGGTTGCCTCCCAGCAGGTGGCTGCCCAGGCATCTGCTTCAGGAATGTTTCCTGCTCAGAGAAGGTAACTATCCTTTGCATTCTGAATGGGTTCTCTATGCGGAGACAGCGGCATGGTGGGAAGGGAGGGAGTCTACAGGCCGTTGAGACCAAATCCTTAGATCCTGGGGTTTCCCGTCATGGTAATGAGCATGCGTGTTCTGTCCACGTCCCACCAAGCCCACCAGCACAGGGTGAGCACAGGCTGATGAGCCTTTGGTCAGCTGAGGTTGCCTTAGGTGATCCTCGCACTTGGTGGAGGAGAATTCACCACAACTCCCCTTATTATGTTTATTTTATTTTAAAGATTTATTTATTTTAATGGAAAGGCAGATGTACAGAGAGGAGGAGAGACAGAGAGGAAGGTCTTCCGTCCCATGATTCACTCCCCAAATGGCCGCAACGGCCAGTGCCGCGCCGATCCGAAGCCAGGAGCCAGGAACTTCTTTCCAGGTCTCCCATGCAGGTGCAGGGTCCCATTTTTTGGGCCGTCCTCGACTGCTTTCCCAGGCCATAAGCAGGGAGCTGCATGGGAAGTGGAGCTGCCGGGATTAGAACCAGTGCCCATATGGGACCCCGGTACATTCAAGGCGAGGACTTTAACCATTATGCTATCACCCTGGGCCCACCTTGTTCTGTTTAAAAATAAAGTCACAGGTGGAAAGTTTGCTTTCCATGATGCTAGAGGTAAAATAAGAGGTTTTGTCTTAATCTTAATATTTATTTTTCATTTATTTGAAAGCCAAGGATGGGTGGAGAGAGAAGAGGGAGAAAGAGAGAAATAGAGATAGCTAGCTTCCATCCACTGGTTCTCTCCCCAAATGGCTGCAACAGCTAGAGATGCCACATGCTGAAGCCAGATCAGAAGTTCTCCCGCGTGTCTCACATGGGTGCAGGGGCCTGTGCACTTGGGCTTTCTTCCACTGCTTTCCAAGGAAGATGAGCAAGGAACTGGCTTGGGAATGGGCAGCTGGGAGTCAAAGCGACACCTGTCAGATACCAGCATCATAGGCAGTGACTTAACCCACTACACCACAACACCAACTCCTCCTGAGATACTTTTAATGGTCCCTCGAGCTGATCTTAAGAAGGAAAGTAATATATAAAGGGATAGAATTCTTCCTATAAAATTAATACTTTTCACCATGTGGCTTCCATAGAGTTGGGTCCTGGCGGGGTGAGGAATTGGCTGTTGGAGCAGGAGCAGTGTGCTAAGGTGTGTTTTCTCTTGCAGAGAATAACAGTCGTCGAAGTGTCCGTGGTCATGTGACTGGATCACATGGGGAAAGCGCTTTATACAGACATCAGTTCCATGGTGTTAATCTGAAATGCCTTAATGGCAGGCAAAAACCAGTCATTTCATTTTTGTAAATTACAGATTTTATCACAGAGTAACAAATGTTGCTGTAATTAAACTTCTGTTTTATATATATATACGTATACATATTTGTATATATACATATATATATAAATATATATATATATATTCTTTACTTTTTGTATCAGTAACCAGGCTCACACACACAGGGTCTGCTGCCAGTCGCGAAGCGGTCGGTGAAGGAGATTTGTAAAGGTGGACCTCGCCTGTTGCAGAGTGCTAGCTGTGAGAGGCTGCCCTGGCTTCCTTCTCCTCTCCTTTGCTATTGTAAATAAGTAACGTTCCGTATCCGTGTGCCTGAACCTTGCATATCCTTCATCTCCCTCCCGCAAGCCCCCCGAAAGGCCAGCCGTGATGACAACGACACTTTGGTACCATGTAGGTGTGTACTTGGTGGCTCCTGTTGAAAACGCATCGGTGTGACATGTTGCGTAGTCACTGTGTGTACTTGTGTATCGTGGGAAAAATACTTTTGGAAGGCATGGGGTTGCCAGTACCACAAAAACTGTGTTGTATATAGAATGTAAAGATTAAAAAGGGGGAGACGATGAGCATCTGTGAATAATGAGGTGTCATTGTGGGTAATCTCAATCGGCAGATAACCCAATGAGCCTGTGTAGCAGAGACGTCTGTGATTGTTCTATTACTTGAATAGTCCTGCGGTCCTTTTTTTGTTTTGTTTTGTTTTTAATGTTTACAATTATCCAGTTTTAGAAGAGAGAGATGTTAACGCCATTGCCTGGTTACTTGTTTTATGCTGTAATCTAGTTTATTTTATGTAAAATGTATATTGAATGCTTTCCTTTTTTATACCTGCCTTAAATAATTTGGCAATCAGAATTAAAAAGGGTTTTTTTTTTTAATAACGGCCTCTTGTCTGTCTCATGTTATTTCTCTCCGTATTGTGAATTAATTAATAATAAAACAGTACCCCAACATCAACTCTCCTTGTATGAAAACACACGGGCGTGAGCCCCGCCACTGCATACCCAGTAGCCAGGTGCTCACACCAAGCGTGGGGCATCCCATCCCTACAGACAGGTCCATATGTATCCCTGTAACAGGCTGAGAGACCAAGATGTTAATATAGGGACGTGTGAACAGGACATAAAACGTGTCGAAAGCCAGTCCGTGAGCTGGAATTTAACTGCTTTACTAGAATGTTCCATACCAGCTTTATACTCTTCCCCGCTTTCTCCCTCCTCTCCCCTTGATCTCCACCTTTCTCAACCACTTTGTTGGGCACTAGGGTACAGCACCGAGCAAGGCAAACAGAAGGTCCTGTCCCTGTAGAGCTGGCATATTCCGGTGGCTGCAGTGAACCCTGGCTGAGACGCACACACACACACACACACACACACCCCGCTCGGGGTTGTCAGATGCCAGGTCGCCGCAGCCCAGGGAGGCCAGGGGTGGCAGCTGGCCGGGAAGGCCTCAGTCAGGACCCGTGGAAGGTGGGCAGTCTGTGGAGCTGGAGACGCAGGTATGGAACCTCAGGGACCGGGTGCCCCGTGTATAGGACGGGCGGAGCTCGAGGACTCAGTCCAGCTTTAAGTTTCTACGACTTTACCAGAACTGCTGACTACGGCTTCTGCCCTTGGTTTACTAAGATGTTAAATTGGTGGATGGTTTGGTTGGTTCTACTTGGAAACTTCCTTTACTGAAGAATGGATTTTTGCCATCACAAGGGATTTGTGACAGGCTACCTGCAAGTGTCGCCTGCCTAACCCAGTCTGCCCTTGTCAATTTCACCAGGAGTGTTCCTCCCAAATTTCAGTCTGTACTTCAAGTTTCATTGCATTCCTGTTGCCATGTATGAAAACTTTGCTTATCAGGAGGCCAGCATAGTGGTGTGGCACACCGGTCCTCCACCATATGGGCACCAATTCCCAGCTCAGCTCAGCTCAGCGCTGGCTGCCACCTTTGGAGAGAAAACCAGTGGATGAAAGACAGCTCTGTCTCTCCTCTCTGTTAAAAAAAAAAAATCACCTTTCAGTAAATCTTCAAAAATACAAATAAAAACTTTGTTTACGGTCCTTTTATTCTATGCGTTCAAGGGTTTCATGTATTTCTTGTCATCTTTGAAGCTATTGACATTTTTCAGCTATTGACTTCCTGCCAGGCAGTTCAAACAGGTTTAGACCCCCTGTTCAGATAGGGTTGACAGAATCTGCTGCTTACCTCATGCGACCCAGTTCTTTTCTTTCTTAAAGGATTCTTTGAAAGGCAGAATGACAGAAAGGGAGAGACAGGGAGAAAGAGATCTTGCATTGTCTTGGTTCACTTCCCAGCTGGCTACAGCAGCCAGGGCTGCACCAGGCTGAAACCATGTGGACAATGGGGGCCCAAGCACTTGAATCATCTGCTGATGCTTTCCTAACTCTATGAAATTCCATCTTTGAGCTCAGCTGCCAGAGGACCGGATGTGTATGTGTTGCACACTCGTCTTGTAGCCGCGTCTCGATGGATGGGTAGAGAGATGGGATTGTTGAGCGCATTAGGCTGGGCTTCACTGAGCTGCTCTGATCAACAAGGGTGCTGATAAATACAGGGAGGTAACATGACTAAAAACGCCATGCAGTGGGTGTTGTTTCCCCCGTCCCCCAGGCTTTTACTGGAAGGTGTTTGTGACTGGTTTGCATTTGACACTGAGTGAAGTTTTGCTTCTTCCCCTTACTGCGTTGTCTGCGCTGATGACAACATGACTTGCTGAAGGCCAGAGCACGTTCTGATCACACAGGCCGTGTCTCTGACTGAGGACAGAGGAGTCGGTGCTGAATGGTAAATTAAAGATTCCCGAAAGACAAGCGTCCTTGGCTCCATTATATTACTATGATGAATCTGCCATTAATGTGGCCTAATTGTTTTACTTTTATGGACCTAAAATCAGTCTCCTTAGTGACTAATAATAGGGTTTATTGATTTTACTCCACATTATTCATCCTAGGCCTGTTCACGTCAACGTGGCCCCGAACACAGGCCGAGAGCCCGTGGCGCTAACACAGTGGACAGCCACTTCCTGCAGAGCTGGGAGAGGAGTGTTGCTCACTGCTGATGGCTCGCTGAATACAAGGTGTTCAAAGCAAGGTAATGGGCTCCACACAGAACCACGCATAGCAAGTGCCCACTGCGAATGTTGCAGATGTTACAGCAGCCTCAGCAAGTGCCAACCAGCGCATCCTGGAGCACTTAGGACTCCCCAGCCCTGTCCCCACGGGGGGTACCACAGCCTTCCCTGGAGCTTGGTGGCTTTAGTGGGGTGGCTCATTTGGGCTATGTGGATACAGCTGGATTGAATCTCTAGGGTTTTTAAATTTTTAATATTTACTAATCTGAAATGCGTAGCAACAGAACCACAAAGAGAAAGAGCTTCCACCTACTGGTTGATTCCCTAAGTGGCCTAAATGGCTGCAGCTAGTCCAGGCCAACATCAGGAGCCTGGGTCCTTGGATTGTCTTCTGCTGCTTTCCCAGGCACATTAACAGAAAGCTAGACCAGAAGAGCAGCTGGGACTCACACTGGCACACCAGTACAGGACACCAGCACTGTAGGCAGCCATGGGCCACAGCGCCCATCCCCAGAGCACCAGGTTTTTGAAAAGACTTGTATGATCCAGACTTTCACATAATAATAAGTAGTTTTATGACATTG